GGGTGCTGGGCTCCTAGGTCCTCATGCTGGTCCAGCAAGTGCTCTCACCCTCTGAGCATCTCCCCAGCCCCTCCTTCTCAGAACGTTTTCCCCCTGCCACCTGACTCTCTTCCACATGTGGGCCATTGCTCTCACTGTTCCCACCACCCCCAGCAGTGGGGGAACGGACGGAAAGAATGAATTCCTAGGAGGGCCCAGCAATGCAGTGAGCCTGGCTGACTTTAACTAAGTCTGCGGGCAGGGGAGACTTTTTATCCCCCGCAAGTTAATGCAAGCTGTTAGGGAGATAAATAAATGACAGGACTGCCGATGGACTGTTGGGCTCAAAGCAGGGACATTTGTCTCACTTTAGAAGAAGGACCTGGAGGGCTCAGCCCCATCGACTCGTTCATTGTGCTGTTATCTGCCGGAGAGGTGGTGACACCATTGCAATTAAGACAAACTTCAGTCTCTAAGTTCCTGCTTGCAATCTCAGGGCTTCAAAACAAGACAAATGACCCCGCCAAGGGAGGAAACAAACTCTTTTCCAGACTGTGTCCCAAGTCACAGGGAAGATTTGTAGTTGTTCGGCAGAAGATTTGTCATTATGAGGCTTGGCTCTGCTGGCTTCCCTCTTTCACATCTTCAATGTCCTCTGTGGCTCGTGACAGCCCAGGCTATCTGTGGGACCTCACCTGGCCTCCCCAAGTGGCCTCATCCCCTGCCAGTCTCCACCTTCCTCTGCCAGTCTCCCAGTTTACAAGCTTCTCTAGTATAGCAAAGATGCAATATTTGCCAAGGCAGGGGCTGATAAAGCCACTGCCACTGCAACTCAGTATTGCCACGGAGGGCACTGGCCTTGTCTCCCATCCTACACTCTAGTAGTCAGGCCCCTGCCCACAAGGACAGACTTAGGGCCTGCATCCTAACATGTCGGCTGCTGCTTGCCCGGCCTCCTTGATGCCTCCTTCCTGTCTGTGCTCCTCCTTATCCCACCACCACACCATCATCCTCTGCCACAGTGCCCGGCTCTGACACTGGGCTCTGTCTCCCTCCTGCAGCACCCCCCACCCCACCTTTGGGTGGAGCTTCCAGCTGCATGAATGAAAACTTCTGATCCCCTCAATGCAGACTCAGTCCAGGACCAGTCTCAGGGGTCTACTGGACCCAAAGCATGAACTCAGGACCCCGTGTAAGCTGCTGTGAGTTAACAGTGCTCCTGTTCCCATAAGGGCCTTGGGACAGGGTCCCCTGCTCTCCCTCCATACAGCCTCCTTCTCTGACTTTCTTCCCCCATTTCCCTGCCAACTTGTATGTTTTAGGGGCTACACCATAGCATAGGGTCATGGACTCTGGGGTCCAGGGCCCTGTAAGCCTCAAAACTATGAACAAAACTGTGTGTGTGTGTGTGTGTGTGTGTGTGTGTGTGTGTGTAAGCATGTGTGTGGATGGGTTAGTGCAGGTGTGTGAGTGTGAATGGGTGTGTACAGGTATGTGCATGCAGATGGGTGTATGCAGGTGGGTGCTTGTTATTCTGGGCTGGGGATGCCCACAGGGGACCATGGTTCAAGTCACAAGAAGTTGTTCAGGAGGCTTGAGAAGACTGCCAAGACTCAAAAGCCCAGCCACTTCATGACAAGAAGAAACAGAGGGCTTGAGGCCTGTGTGAGGCTACTCTCCGGGTCTGGCTCAGAGGTGCTACCTCTTCACAGTGTCACGGGAGGCACAATGCACAGTGTTCTTGGTGAGCTGGTCAAAGAGCAGATCCCAGGCTCCATCCTAAAAGCACACTGTCTTTGCCTTTCAGAGTTTGGTGCTGGAGTGTGGGGTGCATGCGCTGGAGCTGGGTTTGGAACCCTAGCTAAGAGTGGGGCTCTGAGGACCAGGCAGTAATTTCTTACTTACTTGTTGGTGACCTTGGGCAAGTCATTCTGCCTCCATGATCCTGCTTCTCCATCTGTGAAATGGGCAGAATAGTAACCCTACTGTCTATCTCAGGGATCGGGGAGGAAATTACTCAGGTTGATTGCAAATTCAAAGCACACAAGCTGGTTTGGAATGCCCACTCTCTCCCCTCTTCTGAGCTGGAAGACGGGGACAGAGCTTATTCTGTAGAGTGTTTGTGTGCCTATCATGCCTGAGGCCCTGGGTTCAATTCCCAGCACCACAGGAAAATCGTTATGGTGCTACATGCTTGTAATTCTCAACGTTCTGGATGTATTCCCAGTGTGGAGGCAGGAGGCCTAGAAGTTCAAGATCATCTTTAGCTACATAGTGACTTGGAGGCCAGTCTGAACTATATGAAACCCTATCTCAACCCTCCACCACCAATTCTCAGCAACAAAACCAGCAACAGCTCCCACTCACCTCTGCTGAACTGGGGTTGGGGACAACGGTTGCTGATGCTTCTTCAAAGGCAAGGCTGAACCTTAAGTCTGGTTGGTAGCTAGTTCAGGTTTTGGGGTGGTCAGGATCAAGGTGCCCTTCTTACAGAGCTCCTCTCATCAGGAAAACCCACCTTATGCGCTGTTCACAAATCTTGCCCTGAGCTCTGGTCTAGGGTGCATGGTCTTTAATAGCTTGGGTCTCACCAAATTCTATGACTGCATCAGGCCCTGGGCAATGGCGGGAAGTTACTGAGATGAACACTGAGGTCTGGGCCAGCTGCAGGCTGGCACTCTGAAGTTTCACAGGCTCTCCCTGGGAGGGCAATGGAGGCTCCCAGGCAGTCCCTTCCATGGAGCACTGGACAGAGCACAGGCTGTGATAGTTCTGCACGGTGGCCATTTGGCCAACAAATATTTACCATGAGCCTCCTCAGCCAAGGCTATTTTTCTAGGTCTGTGAAAAGCAGGCCGGAGCCTCTGGCTGGTGAAGCTTCCATTCTAATGGAGGACGGGAAGGTGTAAATAAACAATGGGTTTATCACAGTTACCAGCAAGATAGAAGGAAGTGGTACAGGTAAGGGGCACCTGAGTCCTGGGAGCACGTGCATGTGGAGGACAGAGGTTGACACCAGGTGTCTTCCCTGGCCCCTCCCCACTTTGTCTACTAAGTCAGGATCTCTTGTCATGTCCTGGGAGCAAGAAGAGGAGGCTGCGTGTTTCAGTGGGAAGCCACTTGAGCGAAGATCTGCAGGGTGAAATGGGCTATGTAGACAATGGTGAGTGAGAGTGCCAGGCATGCTGAACAAAGGTCAGCAGGAGTTGGCATCATATTGCTAGCAACACGAAAGCCCCAACGGATGTCTAACCCCAGCTCATTTAATAGCTCATGGCAGGTGCCCCCCACGCAGTGAATTTGAGGTTCAGGATCCTTCCACCACTCCACTTCCCACAGGTGTCCGCTTCCTTTGTCAGGAGGATGGAGATGGGTAGGATCTGAATCTGAAGTTTCTTGGCCATCTTCACTCTATTGAGAAGACCTAATCACATGGCTCCCTATTAAACAAGGGGTTTCTGGGAGATGTAGTCTTGCCAGCTCCAGCTCCAGCTCCATATAATGGAGGGATCGTGAAGACTGGTGGCTTTTGCTTTGGCCCTGAGGTGGCTGCAACAGGGACGGTGTCCCAGGGTTACACAGGCATGGGTGGATCTGTGGCCTGTCCTCCCTCCCACTCTCCGTTATCCTCGTGTATGAACCTGTGATAGGCATGCACACACGCTTGTTCACATGTATCTGGCAAATGTGTGTGTAGGTGTGCATGCCTGTGTGTGAATGTGCATTTGGAGGTCAGAAGTTGGCATCAGGTGTCTTCTCCGATGGCATTTCATTTTATTTACCAAGGCAGGATCTCTTGATGATCCTGGAGTCTAGCTAGCCAGCTTGCTCAGGGGGTCCTGTCTCCTGAGGCCTGGATTACAGGCAGGCTGCCACACCTGGCTTGTTTTTATATGGGTTCCCAGGATCCATACTCTGGTCCTCATGCTGGGAAGCAGGGGCTTTACCCACTGAGCCGCCTCCCCACCCAGGCCCCTCCCATTTGTTTGTTGTTTGTTTGTTTGTTTGTTTCTGTGATTTGGTCTCATGTAGCCCAGGCTGATTTTTAACAGAGAATGCTTGTGAATTTCTGATCTTCCTGCCTCTGTCTCCTGAATGTTGCACGTATACACCTGCCCATTGGCTCCGAGTGTCTTGGGAAGGTCTGAAAGTCAGGATCAACTCTGCATGGTGTTCTCACAGGTTTCCCTAGCTGCCATGGGGAGGGCTGCCTTCAGGGGAGGTGGAAGTGGAGCCTGATGGGTTGCTGCTGTGGTGGTTAGGTAAGAGGCATGCTGAGTATGTCCACGAGCCTTGGCTCTGTCCCGAGTACTACCAAAAGTAGAGAAAACACCCTCAAACATGGATGGGGTAGAGGAAAGGAGGAGGGAGGCAGAGTGGAGAGCTAAGTCTAGTTCCCTCAGCACACTTGTGGGCATTGGGAAGGCTCTCACTGAATGACAGAGAAGTGCAAAGACAGCCATGGATGGCAACTGGAGGGTGTGTGTGGGGGCAGGTGGGGGTGTCTCTTAGACCAGGTGGAAACTGGCTTCCCTCCATCCTCCGCAAAAGGGGGACAGCCACACTTCCTCCAGGTGGCTGCAGGATTACCTCAAGTGGCCATGAGTGGCCTGGGTCACAGGCAGTGAGAGGAAGCTGGTGGCAGAGGGGCTGGTGGCTGGCGTGGGAAGGGTTTTGATGGCCTCTGAATTCCTGCGCCTCATTCTTGGCGTCCAGCTTCCTCTTCTGCTGCCCCTGGCCTCACCAGTGCTGGGGCTGGTTTGGTGCTGGGCCTGTAGCCAGCTCCCGATCAGGAGAGGACGACACCACGACCCGAGGCTCGGGTCCGGACCTGGCCCCAGTACACCTTGCTGTGGGACTTCCTCTGAGCCCTGGTTTCTCATGTGACAACCGAGCTAAGAAAACACCGGGTCTCGACACTGAGCTACAGGAAATGTACAGGATCTTGCCTGTACAGGTGTATGTACAGGTGCCCCTGGCAAATGGGGATGTGTATGATGGACCTGTGAAAACAAACCCGATCCAAAGCAGTAACACGTTTATACCATCAGTGCTGCCGAAGGGCCCGACCCTTTACAATGGACAGTAGGGAAACACAGGAGGGGAGGCCAGAGGAGGTGCCATCCTTATAACCCCATCACCCTCCCCCCACACCCTCTGCATCATCTCCACCTGCCATATTCATTATCGTCACCCCAGCGGTGAGGGGTTCAGCAGAGGCTGGCTCTCTTGAGGGCTCCCTAGGTAGGGTAAGAGGTGAAAGCAGGAGGCTGGGCCCAGTACAGCTCTTCCCAATCAGGCAGCAGACGGAGAGGGGTCATGGCTTGTTGTGTCCTTGGTGACTAGTCCTGGATAGTCAGTGTCCTGCTGAGGCCTCACGGGGGCCCCTGCTGGCTCCGCCTCTCCTCTAGCGCTCTGCACACCCACATGGACACCACGGTGGAGTTTCCATCATTGAACTGCATGATGAACGGGTGACCCTGTGGGGAAGAGCAGTAGGTGTGACAGCAGTCTTCCAGGCTAGGTCCCTGGTGCTGCGGATGTGGCTCAGTTGGTAGGGTGCTTGCCTATCCTAATGCAAAGGCCTGGGTTTGATCCCCAGCACCACATAAACAAGGTGTGCTGGTGTGTGGCTGTAATCCCAGAACTTGAGAGGCAGAGGTAGGGGGATCAGAAGTTCAAGCTCATCCACAGCTAGCCTGAACTACTTAAGACCTTGTTACAAAGAGACAGACAGACAAACAGAGGAAACAAAAAGAGAGTTAGGCATCTCTATGCATTCCAAGGTGTGCCCTAGCCTGGACCTGGTTTCTTTTTTTCTCAACCCCACATGGTAGGAAGGCAGGCTGGACTCTTGGAGACATCTCAGCGGGTAACAATGCTTGAAGGCAGCCTGGACGACCCGCTTGATCTCTGGGACCCACACGGTGTCAGTGGAGAACTGACTCTGGAAAGCTGCCCTCTGATCTACGTACAGGAAGCCAGGGAGCGTCTGAGACCTTCTCTAGGAAGCTTAAAGGTACAGCTTGTCTTAACTCCATGCTCTGCCTGGTCCTTTCTCAGCTCAGTTTCACGCCATAGCTACTAGGCCAAGGCCTGGCCCCTGGGCGGCCAGCTTTCCAGTCGGTTCCTGTCCAGAGAGCAAAGGATCATCTCGTCAGAGGCCTTGTCGATCCCTGTTCGCTTCTCCCTTTGTCTCTTGCTCCCCTGGAAGTGAATCACAGCTGCCAATGAAGCACAGACATCCCGCTCCAGGAGGACGAGGCTCGCAAGAGGAGTGCTCAGGCGTGTGGAGGTTCAGGACAGAGGGCTGGACTTTGGAGGGCCCAGCTTTGTTTCCGTGTGGTCCATCTCCTGTTCCAACCTACTCAAGCCCACCGCCGGGCCAGGTTATATTTAGCCGGCATCCTCCCCCCTATTATGATACATTAAGATCACATTCCCAATCTCAGGGGTGTCTGGGGGCTTCCAGGGAGGGCCAGAAGCAACCACGGACAAGGCACAGGTCTGTCAGAGCCACAGTAGGAAGAGATTGGGAAGCATTATTCCATTCACCAAGTAGCTTCCTTGACCAAAGACTTTCAGCAGAAACTTTGTAGCCTCCATGGGAAACAGGCCCTGGGGAGTTACAGTGAGTGAGCAGGAGATGTGGGATCCCGGATGCCCACCCCAAGCTCCTGCCTCTCCCCTCCAAATGCCTCTTTCCTGCTCCCTGTTTTTTTCTGAGCCTCGCCCGGACTCTGTCCCTGCTGGCTCACAGGGCTTTGAGCTACTTTCCAGTATACCTGGCTGTGACCCATGGCCCTGGCAAACAGCCAGGCCCTGGGAACATGCTCAGCATCTCAGTGCCTAGAAATAACTGCAACACATCTCCTGCCCCATGGCTAGGAGGTATGTGGGTCTACTGTGTCCTGACTCCAGCATCTACCAGGATCTGTGGAGGGCCAGGTGGAGCTTAGCAGTGGGAAGGAGGGAACACTACCTAGGCCTCTCCAGCTTGGCTGATTATGGGAAGAAAATGGTCTTTGGGAGCTTGTGCCCAGTTGAGGGCCCAGGGCTTTGCCTAAAGCCTAGCTGGGTACCCTATTATTCCTCATGGTACTCTGTGGGGGGGTCTCAGACATGGGTGTAGGGTCCCAAGAAAGGGGTATTGAAGCCAGGCTGGTGGGGGACTGTGGGTGGCACAGGCCTGGGTGGGGGTGAAACAAGACACACTCCATTTTGGCTTCCATATGCTTTGCTGCTCATACTTGCCCAGCTCCTGCCTGCTTTCACAATGTCTGCCTAGATAGAGAACATTCTTCCTGAATTCCTGTGCATGTTCTTTTCTGGACTTGGGAGAGGCGACTTTGTGCCCTTCTGAAGCACAAAGACAGAAGCTATGCTCAGGAGGGTGTGCCCCTCCCCCCAAGCCCAGGGTAACACAGTGTCACTTTCTCAGAATGCCGGGTGACTTTGGGGCCATATGCTCCATCACGGTTATCATCTGTCTGAGAACAGGCAGAGTGGAACTGCAGGAGGGGAGTGGAGGCATCCCTCCTCAGTCCAGGAAGGGCTGGTGGCTGCGTGGTGGGCAGACTGCCCGGGTGCCCCGTGAGAGTGGGGAAGTAGAGGGACCACCAAGTTGCTGGTCTCCTGGTTCTGTGGAGGCACCTGCCCTTTCCTGACCCCTGCCTGGGAGCTGACTTCCATCTCTATGTACCACTGATGAGGCGTGCCCTCCCCTTGGTGCTTATATATCTACCTCACAAGAAAGGGACCTTGACAACAGGCTTTGTCCCCAGTCGCTGCTGACTGCTTTCAGGCAGGCGGGAAAGGCAGATAAGGGGGTGAATTGCAGGAGAGACACATGCATGAAGCACGCCAGCAGCCCTGTCTGCGGGGCTTGGGAGCCTGGCAGGAGCTGGGCAGCATCTTGCTGGCTTCCTCACCAGGCAGTAGGAGCTCTCATTTGCTGCTCTCTCACAGGGGCAAATGTAACAACCGAACTGGCAGGGGCTTATGTCTTCTGCAACGCATACTTGGTCACGGAGGATGAAGATGTGATGAAGGCAGAAGATTGGGGCTTGAAGAGGTAGGATGTGTCCAAAAGTGGGGCGGCGGAGTGAGCGGGAGGAGCCCACAACCATAGAGGTTAGCATCATCTGTCGGACACCCTCCAAAGAGCAGGAGGAGCAGGAGGAAGAGGAGGAAGAAGAGGAGGAACAGGAGGAAGAGGAGGAAGAGGAGGAAGAGGAGGAAGAGGAGGAAGAGGAAGAGGAGGTAGAAGAGGAGGAGGAAGAGGAGGAGCAGGAAGAGGAAGAGAAGAAAGAAGAGGAGGAGGAAGAGGAGGAATAGGAAGAGGAGGAGCAGGAAGAGGAGGAGGAAGAGGAGCAGGAAGAGGAAGAGAAGAAAGAAGAGGAGGAGGAAGAGGAGGGAGAAGGTGAGGAACAGGAGGAGGAGGAGGAGGAGGAAGAGGAAGGGGAGGAGGAGCTGTATTGTCTGACATCCTCTCCACCCCCAGCCTGCTCCTGGTCTTGATGTTCCAGCTCTCAGCCGATGCCCTGCTTCCTGCTCACTCTATCACAATGAGATCTTTCCTCCAGGACAGCAGGCCCTGCTGAGCCTTCTTAGAAAGGCAAAGGTGTGGCTGCCGGGTGGCAGGACAGGGGCTCCCAGCCTGCCTGCCATGATGGTAAGCGTTAGCTGAGACCCAGCCTCTGGACTCCCAGTCTAGTCCTCAGTGAGACCTCCCTGAGTTTCCTGCCATGTAAGAGTTTACCTATAAAAGGTAGTAGGGGTGCTTGAAGAGGGCTCCTGACTTCCCCTCACGGGGTCTGTGAGGCTTGTTGGGAGTTTTTGGGCATCTTCCTGGAGGATTCCAGGCTCCCGACCTCAGCACTGAGGCAGGACTGTTAGGATCTACATGACTTCAGACCTGTGGAGCCACAGGATGTGGGGCACGCTGGCTTCTAGAGATGTTTCGTTCTAATTCTGTTAAGGGATACTTTAAACTAGGTTTTAAAAACTCAACTAATAAAAACATGTGCTCAGCCTTGTTCAATTCAAAGCACTACAGTGAACACCTTGTGTGATGATGTTGTTTTTTGCAGGTCTTAGGGGCAAAGTTAGTCAAAACCTGTTCAACCTGTGCATCTGCTGCTGACTTCAGATGGGCAGGCTGTGTGGTGCACTGGCTATCTTAAAACACTCAGAACTGTGACGTCCACTCTGACTGTACCTGACTATAAAACCATGTGAGCACATCACCAGGCACATGGCCAGTCAGGTGACACCGTGAGGTCGGGAGTGGCCAAAGCTGTGCCGGTGTCTTAGCACCAGCTCTAAAGCCCAGAATAACACTGTCAGCACTCCATGTTCACCACAAGTGTTTAGGTAAACACTGGGTACATACTGTCAGTGGCTAAGTCTTGACATAAAACTTTTCCCGCTATTCTTTTTAAGTTTGAAAGATTACTTTAATTTTAATGATGTGCATATGTGTATGTCTGTGTGTGGGTATGAGCACACTGTGAGTGCAGGGGCCTGTGGAGTCCAGGAGAGGGCGTCTGATCCCCTGGAGGTGGAGTTACAGGTGATTGTAGGCCGCCTATGTTAGGGCCAAGTCTGGCAGCACAGGCCTACAATCCCAGCTATTTGGGAGGCTGAGGCAGGAGGATCACCAGCTCAAAGCTTGTCTGGGTTACAGAGTGAGTTTGTGGCCAGCCTGGTTTAACTTTGTGAGGTTCTGCCTCAAAATGAAAGTAAAAAGAGGGCTGTACTTAAAAGTGAATGGTGTGGGCTGGGGTCAGTGGGAGGGCATTTGCCTAGTAAGCTGTATCATTCTACAAGGCCCTAGGTTAAATAACCAGCATCACACATGTACACACCCACACCCGCACCAGCATCCACACCCACACCCACCTCTGCCTTCTTTTCTGGGAGTGAGGAATGCTCTCCTGTTCCCTGCCTTCTCTCCCTCCCTTTCTTCTTCTTGGAGCACAGCTGAAATTACCTCCCTAAAATTCAGGTTAAGAGGGCCAAAGACTTCTCACCAGCAGCAGCTCTTGCCCCACAAGCATGAGGACTGGAGTGTGATCCCCAGAAACAATGTAAGAATGCCAGGCATAGTGGGGCCTTAAACCAGATTGGAGGGGTTGGGGCAGAGACAAGCAGAGAGATCCCGGGGACTCAGGCCAGTGAGAGGCTCTGTCTAAAAACACAAGGAGGATGGCTCCTGAGGATGACACCCCCAGCTGTCCTCACACACCCACACTCACACAATCTGTAAACACACTCAGACACACACACTTACAAAAATAAGTACAACTCAAATAAGAGACAGGTGCAAACTGTCTTTCCTCAAGCTTTGCTAAGTTAAGCTAAAAAGGTAGGTGATCAATTAAATACTAGAATTAGAATGCAATTTCTTCCTTTTTTGTCTTTTTTGAGACAGGGTTTTTCTGTATAACCCTGGCTGTTCTAGAACTTGCTCTGTAGA